AGAGTAGAGAGAGAGATGAGAGAGAGAGAGAGAGAGAGAGAGAGAGAGAGAGAGTTACGTAAAATTAGTGGTTGACCTGATTGAGTCCGAGTTGAGTCTGGGTCCGTTGGGTCTGTGTCCATTGTGTCAGGTCAAGTCAACCAGGATTCGACTCGACCTAACCCATTTCTACCCCCAATATTCCAAAAGGCAGACCGCCCAGCGCCTAAGCGGCTTGCCCTTTGGGCGGTCGCCTCGGCGCTAGCACTGGCCTAGGTGGGAGCCCAGTGCCCAGCCTTGTGGAAATGCCCCTTGTTGAGGGTTATTTTTGGGTTCTTTTTGAAAACCAAAAGGGGATTAAAGTGGGGTTTAGATTCATTAGAAACCTATACCCCATTAGAGTCCATTTTAGAGAGAGAAACCTAAAAAAACTAGATTTTTGTGATTTTCATTGGATCAAAGGGTTTTTCAAAGCTACGCGAAATTGATCTAAACATCACTCATTGAGATTAGATTTAGTTTTGGATGTTTTATAGGTGTATTAGAGGGTGTTTTAGAAAAATTTGATATTAAAAAAATCTCAAAGGTGGAAGTTTGGAGATCGAGCGATCAAATTTAGTGAAAGATTTTATTATTTAGATTACTTGTATTATTTTGAGATGTCTTCTTTGGGATCTAATCTAAGTGGTGATCCGGGATGGAAATATGGCTATGCCCGAGTCCTTTGGATAAAAATTGGTTAAGATGCAATTATTGTGAAAAGGATACAAATGTGGGCATAAACCGGTTGAAGAAACATCTTTTCGGTATTAGGGGGAATGTTGGGGAGATTAAGAAAATATGAGTTCAGTAAAACACAAACAGGAACAAAAGCCTTGTCATTTGGATAAGTCTATTTCTGGTTCTGCTAGAAGAGGTGATCTGCGTTGGAAGTATGGTTATAACTCGAAACCAAACGACAAAAAATGTATAAGGTGTAATTTTTTTGAAAAGATACCAATGGGGGGTATTAACAGATTCAAAAAACACCTAACCAATATTAAAGGGAATGTTGCTTCTTGTAGAAAGGTTACTAAAGTTATTAGGGATGAGGTTAGAGAATATTTGAATTTAGTAAAACTAGAAAAGGAAGACAATGAGCCTTGCTATATAGAAATATCTTCTCCAGGTTCTTTTAGAAGTGGTGATCTAGGTTCTCCAGGTTATACAAAAATTGTATAAGGTGTAATTATTGTGGAAATGATACTTAGGAGGTCAGTTACGAGTTCAAGAAACGCCTTACCAGTATTAAGAGGGATGTTGCCTTGTGTAAAAATGTTTCTGAGGCTACCAGGAATGAGATTAAACAATATTTGAGTTCAGTGAAACACAAAAAGCAAGAAAAAGGTGAAGATGCACCAAGTAGGGCAACCAAGATTCCTAGGGCGTCATTTCCACAGAGTAAGAAGGGGTAGAAATGTTATCGTATGGATTCAATCGTACAGATACATATCTATACAGATATGTATGGATATATATCTCTTGATAAGAATAGGTGTACATGTATGGATATGTATCTCTTGATTATGATAAGATTAGGTAGTATCTATTAATAACTGTTGGTATCTATCTATAATTGTTATTGGTTGTATATTTATACTAGGTCTTGTTTATTCTTTCATAGAATCAATATATAGAGAATTCTCTGCATATTCTAAGATTCTATCATGGTATCAGAGCCATAGACTCCTCAACCACAGATCTGAGCTCGCACCTCAAATCTGAGGTTGCCGTAGCCCCTTTGCCCAGCTTATCCGCATCGAGGCCTCATCTTCATTTCAAAAATTTCATGCCGTTTTCTCCTCAACCTCAAATCCGAGCTCTATTGAAGAGTCATGTTTTCAACCATCTACCTATCAGTCATTATTGTTGAGCTATGCTTTCGACTCACCATCTAACTGTCCTTCCATGCACCCATCAATCCATTGTTTTATTTATCTGCCAATTCATCAACCAAACCCACCATGCAACTGTCTATTGACTTGAACTTCGCAAATACCAGCACCAACAGTCATCTTTTGCTATTTGCAAAGTTTCCTTGCAATAGTTCCCTTATGTGATCAAATTTTGCTATTTGCAAAGTTCCCTTTGCAAACATTACCGCCAACAAAAAAAATCTCACACCACAACGCTTACTAATGATCAAATGTTATCCTTTAAACCTTCTTCTCCATAGGCCGTCATGCTCAACCTCAATAGTCCATCAAACTGTGATGATTTAGTAGTTACACCCCATATTACGGAATCATTTAGAGCAATCTTATGATATTACGGAATCATCCAAAGCAATCATAAGATTGATTCGTCTAAGAGATGGTTTCGTTAGCAGGACCCATATATTGATGCTGTTGTGAGTTACTGGCCCACTCGAGTCGTGTTTCGACTCTCCGTATTTGCTTCTCACATATTTACTATTGTACTTGTTGTTGTTGTTGCATTCGCCACAAAATCGTTGCTGCAGGGCTCCCCTCTGATGTCAAACCCCTGTTGAGCCATATTTGAAACCTGCCTCTAAATCCACTGAAAATGGCCTCTGAAAACAACCGATCTGCCTCATTTGAAAAACTGCCCCTTTGTCTGCTTTTTGCCTTTGGATCTTGATCTTAGGGTCCAGATCCATCTGAAATTTCACCCAGCCACTCTGATATGATATTGTAGGTTTTCTGAAAAAGCGTCTCTTTGAAAATTCATCCAAAAAAGAAAAAAAACAATCGTAGGTTTTTTGAATTCATCTTCGTGTTGTCTGTTATTTTCTATATGATCAAGTTTTCTATTACTTGATCATGTCTGTTCTGGTCTGCGAGCTGCTGAATTGGTCTCAGATACATATTTGTATGGATATGTATATTTATATATATATATATACCTATATATATATCTCTTGATAATATTAGGTGTCCTTGTATGGATAGCTATCTCTTGATTATGATAAGATTAGGTAGTATCTATCAGTAACTGTTGGTATCTATCCATAACTATTACTGGTTGTATATTTATGCTAGGCCTTTTTTTTTTTTGACAAGGTTACATAGGAATGGAACTTGAGATGTAGTGCCATGAAAATTCAGCTGCTACCGTCTTGACCCAAGCCCGATATTGGGTCTCGTTCATTCTTTAATACAATCAATATATAGAGAGTTCTTTGCATATTTTGAGATTCTATCATGAAGAAGAGGAGAAAGAGGCAGATTCAGAAGAAACAAAGGAGGGCGAGTGTTATGTTGAAGAGGGAAATGATTCTGATGATGATGGCCTTGAATCCGACACATATGATGAGGCTTACCTTACTTTTTCTGATGATGACTGAAGATACTTGACTATTGGTGTTGAGTCTTAGACTGTATATTTTCTTTTTCTTATTTTCTGGTTTCTACTATTTAGTTTTATGTGTATGCTTGTGTGGTTGTATCATTGTATGAAAAATATGGGTTATGGAATGATATGAACTATGGAGCATGGAGTATGGTTTATGGAGTATGGATTATAGATTGTGCTTGTATTACTAATTTATTGGTTACTATTATAATTTATTTTTGTTTGTGCTAGTAGTCTATCTATTATGAATATACAAGGGTTTGGAACTTTTGGATTAAGAGATTTTTAATATTTTATAATGTATACTCATATTCCCCTACCCCCTGCTCCTCTTCTTAAACCTATGTTCTAGGCCGCCTAGTTTCTTGGCGGTCGCTTAGGTGTTGGGCGGCCAGGACCCCCCCAGTCGCCTAGGCGCCGCACAATGTTTTTTGGAACACTGCCCCTTATTTCTAGTGCATGATCCACAAGTCGTGTTTCTTTCCTCAATTTGATCTTGCATATGGGATTGGTCATGTGGAGTTGGTTGTGGAAATCGATTGATTAAGTGTTGGATCTAATGGATTATGAGCATTCTCCTTTCGGCAATCTATATTTTTAATCATTGTAACCGTTCGTTCATTTTACTGATATCTCCTTGAATTTCTCCAATCTATCCTTGTATACCTTCCATGACTTGACTTATTCCCTATTTAATTTGTTGATTCACAACCTCCATGATTTGTGGCAATGTATTCTCCATCTAAAGATCGAGCTTTGGCGGCGTCGTGAGGGAGGGATCTTCTAAAGTTCTGATGCCGATTAATGTAGGGGAAAGGGAGAAAGAAGAATAAAATAAAGCAAAAGATTCAAAATTAGAAATAAAGGTGAGAGATTATTCTATATGCCATCTCTCTAGGTTTGCAAGGGAGTTCACCCTGAAAGACACTTTCACAAGACAACATCAATTTTTCTTCGTTGTTCTCTTTTTCTCTTGTCCAACATATTTATAGACAAAAAATCTTAAAACCTAACTCACTCCTTAAGAAGCCTTAACCATATCTAAGTCTTAGCCTTTATCTATTATAATTAAAACTTTTAATTCTACCTTCAATTCTCTATAGCTAAAGAAAAGTCATAATTACCCTAAATTTGATAAAAACCCAAATAACCCCAAACATAGTTTTAATCTCTTATAAAAAAGAAAATGTGAAAACCCTAATTGCATCATTCATCATCATCATTATCATCATCCGAGCCTTATACCAATTATTTGGGGCTACCCAAATTGCATCATTGCCCTTCCAAAAGTTCTTGCATGATGCATATTTGGTTCCAGATAGTGAGAAACCTTTTATCATGCCGTGTAGAAAATGTCCATCGTCATGGTTTTTCTTATTAAAAATCCTTCTTATTATTCAGTCCTGCTGTTATTTTGTGTCCCTCAAAGGCAATCTAGACGTAGAATAACCTAATCGACATGGGGTGAGATTCTTTGGCTGATTTTCGTTTTTCTTTACTAATTGATTTGTATTCATACTTGGGGCTAATACATGGTCAATGAACCACCTTATTTTGGGTGAATTTTGGAAGTCGTGGGATTTCTTGTCACATATCTTTAATGGTATTATAAAGGATTAAGAAACTAAAAAGAAAAAGAGAAGCAATTCTGGCATTCCAAATGATTTTTGTGGATAGAACATTGGACATGTGAACTCACATTTGTAATTTTGAAGTTTGAATTGCTGTATGTAGGGAGTTTCTAGTCACTTAATATGTTTTTGTGGTTTTCATTTTATGTTATTTTAATTAATGGTTCCAAATGCAGGTTCTGGTTGTAGGAGGTGGTGATGGCGGGGTCCTTAGAGAAATATCTCGACATAGCTCTGTAGAGCGAATTGATATTTGTGAAATAGATAAAATGGTTATTGATGTAAGTATTTCTAATGATTTTTCAGTATCTTCAATTCTATTTCTTATGCACCTTATCATTTCAAGTAACCTAGTTTTGAACTATTTGTTTTAGGTCTGTGAAAAGTACTTCCCATATTTGTCTCTTGGATTTGAAGATCCACGTGTCTCACTTCATGTGGGCGATGGTATGGAAGATTTGTTTCTCCACTTTGGGTAGTTGCATTACTTGTGTTTATTTGTTATTATTGATGTCATGGAATAATGATCTTATGTATTGATCCTTCTTATTTTTCTTATCCTTTTCCATGTTGTGAGTTATGATTGACGAATATGTTCTATTTGATTCTGTACGATGGCAAGTTGAATCTATGTATTTCATCATGGAATTATTCTTAGTAGGGAACTTTTAAAAGGGAATGATACCCTAAGATGTTAACTACAGTTTCATCTTCTTTTCATATTGATACTGATTTCCCTGCAGCTGCTAAATTCCTGCGAGAAGCATCTGAAGGGATGTATGATGCAATTATCGTGGATTCATCAGATCCAATAGGTATATTTCATTCTTATTTCCCTTAGATTTTTGGAATTTTTGGCTAGTGTAGAGAAAGTTCCAGTGTGGAATTACGGTGCGATTAGAAATAGCTGATCGAAACTGATACATTAGAAGGGACCTTATGAAAATAGCAATAAAAATAATGGAATGTTGAAACTAAATTCTGCAATTGTCTTTTTGTTTTGCTACATTTCTTCCAATAAAATTTCAAAGGTTTAGTTAAAACCTGGGATCAGTTGCCATGCAGATTCAAGTGTTAAAACACAGTTGGGCTCAATGGATATCACTGATTGAAAGTGTTTGCTAATATGTCCATATCCACTGTTTCTGTTTTAGGCTCTCAGCCTCTCGCTTCTATTGTGCGCGTTGGTGGGTGGGCGGGACAGTGGGAAGACTGTGTTTTATACAGAGACCTTATTTGGAAACTTCTCCTTTTTCCTGTCATCTCTTTACTATATAATTCTTAGATTTTAACCATCTAACTATGTGGCTGGTAATTTGTTATTGGAGTTTTTTTATATCCTTGCATTTGACTCCACACTATCCCAAGATCTAGTGGTTTCTCCCTTCTTTGCATAACAAGCAATAAACATTTATATTATTGGCTTTTGTTTATTTTTTGAATAATATAAAATTTCCTATGCTGAGTAACCAAGTGGAGTGGTTGCATGCGGTATGCTTATATCATTGTTATGTGCCTATCTGTTGTCCAAAGGTAAAAACCATTGGCAGCTTTTGAAGCTGTTTATTGAAGCCTAGTGAAGTAGAGGTTGAGTTAAATATTCAGTAATCACACTCCTAGTTCGGGTTTCTGTAATTTGGGCTTCTATTATTTGAAAATTTCACCTTTTGGCCGTATGGAACACGTTTTCTTTTCAAACATCTGTAAACTTAGATCAAAGATATACCTCGTCTCCAACTATAAGTGTCATGTGGTGACCTTATAACAATTCCAGCATGCATCTGCGTGTAAACGGGCAGGATGAAGTGGACTGGATCGTATCTCCTATGATAACTGCAATGAACAACTAGCCTGCTAGGAGGGGCACCTGATCAGGCTTACACACATTTCCTTATCTGCCCTTAGCCTGTCGAAACCCTGCACCTAAGGGCATATGTAAGATACATGCTGCCACCAAGAAGCATTCGACTGATTTGCCATTTGCTGGCCTTTGTTTTTCTTGTTGAGTTCTAGTCCTTCTCCTGTATCCCAGTGGAGATGACTAGTTTTATTGGATGGGTGGGGACAGAAGAAGTATAGCCATGGAGACTAGCTTATACCATGTATAAATCTTGCTGTTAATTCCGTTTCGATATAGGGGAGGCTGACTCCTTTGCACAAGTGGTTATTGAGGATAGTGCCTGCAGGTTGTCATCATCCTTTTGCACTCATGAGAACTCAGTATATTTATAAATTTAAAATATCAAAATTATGTTATCCTTAGTTAAGTCTGATGGCTAATATCTGAACTCCTTTTAAACAATTGACAATTTTTAATACAACATGTTGTATGTGCGGAAGATCTAATTTTGACTTTAAAATATCTTCAGAATTGACATGATGCCTAACAGTGGATAAAGTGATTGGGCCTTCTTTCTGTGGTCGCAACATTTTCTTGATGGTTGAAACCATTTGGTTGTGAAAACCTTTTTACCAATCATGATGGTTTCAATAATAACACAAACGATCAATCTTGTAACAAATAATATGTTGTGTTACTTATTTCTATTAGCTGATTTTATTTTGTTAATTATTGTTGAGGAAAAGACTAACAGCCACTTTTGTTGTAGTCTTCTTCTTATTATAGTCTTATCAGCTAAGAGTCTATTCTGTTGTAATGGAGGTTTCTTGAAATCTGATGAGGTGATAACTACATTTGTGACATGAACACTGTAGGGATGTTTTAGAAACTTGAAGTTTTGCATTATTAAAGACATTTTAGCTATTTGTCTGGTTATAGGAACATATGAAGACTTCACAAGAGATGCAAGGAAAGTATACTAAGTTCCGCATGACCATGTGGTCATATGGGTCATCACCATCCAGTTAATGGGATGGATGCTGATGCAGAGATTGGGACACACTTCCAAGTCATTCTGTGTTTTGGCTAGTCCTTTTTTTCCATTAATCGTCCAACGCATGGATTGGATGATGATGACTCTTATGGCCACATATGGCATGGAGTCATATGGATCATAATATACTTCTCGATTAATTAAGCATTAATTATTTACGACACTTTGTTGATCCAGGTCCTGCTCAAGAACTGGTGGAAAGACCATTTTTTGAGACAATAGCAAGAGCATTAAGGCCAGGAGGTGTGCTTTGTACTATGGCAGAAAGTATGTGGCTTCATACGCACCTTATTCAAGATATGCTGTCAATTTGTCGGGCAACCTTCAAGGGATCTGTCCACTATGCCTGGACAAGTGTCCCTACATATCCGAGGTGATCCATTTTTATTCTTGTTTTTTGTGTCCAATTTGTATTTCAGATGAACCTGAATACGGAGGCTCCTAATCTCTTATGTTTCACTGAGTGAAATCCATGGTAGTTCTCCAAGTGATCAAAGTTCTGACTATTAGGGCCTTGTTAATGTAATGGTACAATATTCTTTTTGTAATTTCTGCTCAATTTATTGGATACAGTTGATTTCCTATGAAATATTTGTATAACTGAACATTAACGGAAAGGTTACTATTCTTAGGCAGCTAACATTTAAGTACACTTGTTAGAGTTTGTGAGGGTTGCATGTTGTAGAAAAGGTTGGTTTTACTTGTATCCTGAAATAGTTTGGCTGTCTTATCACTTTTCCAATTTTTATTTTTCTTATATATGGTTTTGAATGGTTGTTTAGCATAGTTATTGCTTATTATATTATTATACATGGATTGCAAACTGAAGGGCGAACAATTACGATCAATGAGCATACTGGGATTTTTTCCATCGAATAAAATTGCATAATTCAGAGTGGTACAGTCAAGATGTAATCAATTGTGACTTGTTACGGTGATTGATGTGCACACTTTGAGAAGCTATCCAAATTATTAGATAAATCAGTAAAAAGAAAGTAAAATTAAGGAACCATTCATTTTGTTCTTGCATCAGTCAGGCTTGGTGCTGTTTTATGGGGCTTGTTGGTCCAATATTGAATGGCTAAGATGATTTTGGGAGGGTTAATTTATTGTAGAGATTATACCTCCTGGTGCTGCCATGGGTTGAGATTACTTTTGGGCCACACAGATTCATCCCACTATTTTCTTGTGAGAGGATTAGAGATGTGATTACCTTAGAGGCATTGGCTCTGACAGCATTTTAGGGAGCTAGGGCTCAGGATATTTTTATCAACTTTGTGTGACTGCCTTTAGAGCAATCACACAGATCTAGGCCACAATGACACAGATCCAGGCACAGTGATCCCTTTCCAGGTTGAGAGCATCAAACTCAATTTCAATGGTAGCTTGCTGGGGAATATTGAACGTGGAGGAGTTGGAGGGGGTGTTCAGATACTAAATTGGGAGCCCACTTGGAGATCCTTTTTAGGATCAGGTTGGGTTTTGTGATTCCTCTACTGCAGAGGCATGCTTCTCTACATGGGAACATTTCACAGCCCCTTATGGTTGAGGTTTATAGGTCATTTGGTGGCATCAAGAGAGTCACCCTGTCATTGACACTTGGCAGATACTATGGAGGATGTCCTTGATTGCGCAAGTCCCATCGTGTGACATTCCATCGTGTTTGTAGGGAGGCAACTGATATGGCATATAAGTTGGCCAAAGATGGAACTGGACACAGCTCTTTACATATCCATGACGAACCATTAACTTGGCCCATGACCCCTCCATGCATCTTGTTATCCCTCTTCGTGCATGCCTATGTCTCCCATCGTTCCCTTTTATGCCTTCAATCTTTGTTTTCTTTTCTCTTTGATGCATCTGTCTCTGTTTGTAACTTTGTGCTCATTTCCACCATTGCAACTTGGTATACACTTCTACAATCTATGAAATGGTTGATTGAAAAAAGTTAGGAAGTTGTTATCTAAAAATTGCATATGTTATGAGGTAAATATGGAATTATTTTAAGAATAGTGGGAAATTTAACCTGGCATAAATTATCTTAAAATGGAAAATTTTGATTATAAGTCCAAAAGAGGGATGATTTATTGTGTTTCTTTTCCTTGTTTCTGCTTGAAAAGAGGAAAATAAGGAAATATGAAATTTAAGGTGTTATTCTAATTATAGGCACAACACACAGATAAAGTCTCTTTTGGGGACATGCAAATCTTGTTCTTACTTGAGCTCTTTTGCAGACTTACTGAGATGGGAAATTAAGAAAATACTAAAAATTAGGAAGCTCTTATCCTAATCAGGCATTCAATGAAGAGATTAGGTTTTTGGAACATGGGAATTCTATTCTTAATCAAGCTCATTCCAGGAGTGATTTTGGATTTTTCAGTTTTCTATTTTATTTGGTATGGTCGTGATTGCATCTTAATTACTGGAAGGCTATTATTGCCTATTGATGACCTACATCCATAAGAAAATTAGTATACGCATAGATGCAATGATATATTATAGATCTTTAATGAATTAGTAATATATCCACTTCATAATTTTTTTATATTGTACTATATTTTTAAAATAATATTAAAAACATTCACATTATATTCTTTGCATATGATATAATAAACTTCTATAACTATCCCGACTTTTGATTTGTCATGTCATGTGGATAATTTGTATATTGATATCATATTTCATCTTTATATTACTTCATACTAATAGTCAAACCATGGGATACACAGGATATCCTTCTGGAATTTTGAGAAGGGGGAGAAAGAGTGGGCCTAAACAAAGTAATTTTGTAAAATATTTATGCTACTATTTTTCTATGTCGTTGCATACTTTCCCTGTTGTCTAATAGAAGTTTGTCCTTCATGGAGGAGAAAAGTAACGATACAAAATGAAATTCGTAAAGAAAAATAGATTGAAAATCAAATGATGATTGATTCTTGCTAGTCATCATGCCTTCTAATAGAAACTTGCCTTCCTTCGAGAGAGAAAAAAAAAGAAGAGAGATTAATATAAGGATAAATGCTTAGGGTAGAGGAGGATTGAAACCAAAAGCTTGTTGAGGGATGAGAAAAAGAGTGAATCAAAGGAAAGAATGACAACAAAGCGACGAATGAAAGAAGAGAATTTTGATGCAATTACATCGGATTCGGTGCTCATGAAACTCATGCAATATGCATTTGTGGAAGGTGAAATACTTATGCATGTTTCTTTGCTAAGTAACTTCACCAATAGAAAGAGGGACAGTTTAGTGTAACTTAAAATGTTTTTTGAAAATGTTAACTTTGTATATATAAAAGAAATTTACATGAAGAATGTTCTATCTACAGCATCCGACATAGAACTAACTAACTTCACCAATAGAAAGAGGGACAGTTTAGTGTATCTTAAAATGTTTTTTGAAAATGTTAACTTTGTGTATATAAAAGAAATTTACGTGAAGAATGTTCTATCTACGGCATCCCACATATCGGGTGGTCAAAATATAGAAAATATAGCAGAGAGAGCACTGAAGCTCAGGGGGAGAGAGAGAGAGTCCAAAAATGGAGCGACCCCACATATTGCGTGCTTAAAAGATAGAATCTAAACCAAGAGAGGGGGGAGAGTGTAAGACCAAAAAAGGACCAGGGATAAGATAATACAATGATTATGAGTGTAAGTATCCAAAACAGAAATAAAGAATTGCTGAGAAAGTCTTCATGATTTTCTGGTGGAGGATACTGTCGGCTCTGGTTGGGCTTCTGTTAAGATGGAACTGATGTCTTGTGGGAGGGCTGCTGGTCCCTGATATTAGTAACCCGCGTTGCTGAGATTTGGAGTCCATGCTTGGTAGTTGTATGTGTGGTGTCTGCTGTTTTCAGCGGTGTGGCTTCCCGTATGTTAAGCAGTAAAAGGCGATGGGGCAAATGGCAAAGATGGAGTCTGAGATAGTTACCATAATGCGTATTTGGCATCTTAGTGCTAAGAAGAAGTTGAGAGAGATGAAAATGAAGAAAGAGTAGAGAAGAAGACAGAGATGGGTTGTGAAACTCCCGATAGGGAATATGGAACAGGTCGGGCTGTGGAAGTTAAAGATTGGGCTATAGAGGGTTGACTGAGGTGTGGGTTTTGGGGGCAAGGATGTTAAGAGAGAGGGTAGTTTAAAGATGACTAGAAGGCAAAGCCCAAAGGCCAAGTAAATTTAGCTAAACTTCCATAAGCCCAGAGAGTTGTAGCAGGTCGTCTAAGAAGGAGGAGAATGGAGAAGGGGCTGGAGGATGAGTAAGTGGGAGAAGAGGAGGGAAGAGTGAGAAGAAGAGAAGAGAAGAATGAGGAGAGATGAATGTGAGAAGCAAGGTGAAGAGGTAGAGTAGAAGATAGAAAAAAAGAGAACATGGATGAGAATGGAAGAGAGAGAATTTGTCCCATTCTCATACTTTTTTCTTTTTTTTTCCCTTTATCATTTTTTTTTCTTCTTTGTTTAGTTTTTTCTCCTTCCCTTTTTTTTTTTCCTCCTTCCTCCTCAATAGGACATCTGCTAGTACCCCCCTCCCTTCGCTCTCTTTTTCTTTTTTGTTCTTTTTTCTTTTTTTTTGTCGGGGGGGGTTGTGTGGGGCCCCAAAGTTACCTTTGTGGGCCCTGGCTGGGGGATAGAAGAGAGAGTGAAGAGTAGAGTGTACTTAGAGAGAGTGAAGGTTAGAAAGAGGAGAGAAGGTAGAGAAGCGTTAGGGGTTGGGCTGGGTATCCTGGCCTAACTGAGCGCTTCTTTTGCTAGTGTATCTGCTGAAGTATTGGCCTCACGGAAGCCCAACTTGAAGGTGAGTGCTGGCATGGAGCTGCAGAGAAAGTATATGTGTTCAAAGATGAAGTGTAGTCTCCAAGGAGGGGCCTGCTACTTTGTTGCCCAGAGGATTGTGTTTTTGGAATCTGACTCTACTATAATGCCTTGAGCTGGATTTCCCAATGAGCAATGTACTTGAGGCCTTCTAGAAATCCTTAGAAAAGGTGGAATCTTGGATTCCGATGTAGGTTGAGAAGGTCCATAGGGTAGGGTTTGGAGTCTGAGAGCTGCTCTCCAATGCCCGAAGGGCCGGCAAGTGAGGATCCATCTACATTGAGTTTAAGTAGGCCAGGTGGAGGAGGGGTCCAGGTTGGGTTGGGTCTGTTATTGCGGGGGGAAAGATTGGGGATGCTTTACCAATTTGTCAAGAAGTGTGAGATAGGGATATCTGTCAAGAAGTGTGAGATAGGGATATTTGTCAAGAACTGGTCTCCAAACCCATCGGGAACCTTCACAGTCTCTTCCTTCTATAACTTTCTACTTCCTAATCTCTACGTTAACCCTCTCCTCAACATAACTTGGTCCTTACCCATTCCCCACAAAGTTCAGGGCTTTAT